CTCTAAGTTAAGCTTGTCTCTTTTTCCTTTGAAAAATACAGCAAACCCTAGTTTAGGGTTTCTGCTTAGGTAGGCCACCTTTAATTTTTCTTAAAATAGGCCACCTCTAATTTTTCTTTCAAGACCAAAATATAGAGGAGAGAAAGAGAAGGTATGTCTTAGAGAGAGATGGCGTGCCTCTATTTAGGTTAAGAGAGAGATGGCATGGTAAAATAAAAGAGAGAGATGAACTTTTTATTGGCATGGAGACGAGAGAGAGATCCCCAAATTTGAGGAAGAGAGAGAGGTCTCCCCCAAATTTGGTCCGTGAGGAAGAGAGAGATTCCAATAATTGCTATGTGAGGGAGAAAGATCTCTTGGGAGCAATAGAAAATCTTGTTATTAGATCTCAAATAGGCTCGTCTTTAAATAGAAGGAGACCTAGAGAAAACTTATCTTCTAGTTTGAATAGGATTTGCCTTATCTAATTTTCAGCTACAACCCCTTCACCAATAAAATAGGGTGTGAACAAAAATAGAGTGTGATCCTTAGGGTGCACAGAGTGCCACATGTCGGGCTGGTTTCGTGGTCCCACATGTGTTATTTTAAAATTTTGAAAATATCCAGAAATGCCCTTTTATGAAAATTTACAACAGAAACAATATTTTAACATTCTGAAAAAAATATTTAAAAATCAAAGAAACATTTATAATACCAAAATAAAATATACCAGGAGTGGACTGGTACCATTGGGTCAAAATAAGCAATACTAAGGGCGCTCCACTCGCCCCAGAAACCATAATCCACAAATGTTCTCTTATCCAACCCAACAAAAGTCCCATGACCCACAGTCCCTTTGCAGGGGCTCATAATTGACTTGTCAAAGTTGGATTATAAAACAGTGGGACTATGATCCTGGAATGTGGATTACAGTCCTCCTCCTTTTTAAGAGCAAGTCTAGCACTTGTCACTACAGTACAAAGGGGGTTCTCTCAATTCACGTGTACACGCGTCCTTGTAAAAAGGGCCGCTTCCCATGTGGCTGTTATATGTACATGCTGTGTGGAAGTTTGTTGAGGATTTGACCCTTGCTCTCACAGGCCTAGAACCGTACACAAGAGATCACACAGTTCTCCTAGCCTACAAATATGATCCTTAGGCATCTCTCCGACCTCAACAAGGGATGACTCACTTCAAACCCTTTTCGGATGTGGCACATGCTCAGGGCCAAGGGTTTTAAACATGACCGGGGCCCTAAACTGCCCAACCCTTGGTTAGTCAACGTACACTCCCACTGAAGTGCATATTCCACTATATATCATTTGTTTTACAAGTTCTCTAGGCCTTTAAAGGCCACAAAAACCCAACATCTCCCACTTGACCTTTGAAAGCCATACAATCACACTCAATTTCTCTCAAGCCCATCCCATGTACATGTTTGGCAAGAAAAAACTTTTGCCACCAATCCTTTTATCAAAGGATTCGTTAACATGGTCACAATCGAGAGATATGCAATTTGAATCTCTCCTGCTCGGATCTCATTGCAAATGTAGTAGTAACCTCGGTTCTTTTGACACGCAAATAGCTGCCTGGTTTTCACAGAAGATTCTAATGCTCGGGCACTTCACTGGATCAAATTTGAGTTGATTCAAGAACTTCTTTAACCAGACTGTTTCTTTTAGCCGCGAAACAACTTGCCACATACTCTGACTCCATAGTCAAGAATGCAACTATATCCTATTTCTTTGAGCACCAAGAAATAGCTCCACCTGCAAGCATGAAGATATATCCAGATGTGGACTAACTCTCATCTGGATCTCTCCGATAGTCCTCATCTGAATATCCTTGTATCTGTATGTCCGATCTTCCTCCATAAGTGAGTGCGTAATTAACGATTCCATTCAAATGTCGCAGTACTCATTTGATGGCCTTCTAGTGCTTCATACCTGGATTATTCTGGAACCTGTTAATCGTAACTCATGGTAGAAGATAAAATTGGTCTTGTCCTTGACATATCATACATAAGTGACCCAATTGCAGTTCTGTATGAAATTTTTGCATGGCTTCTCCAAGGTCCTTCATAACAAAATTATGTGACAAGAAAGCTTTTGTCTCCAATCGAAATATTGACAATTAACATGTCATCCACATATAAAAAGATGAAAAACCATGTCACTCCCATTGATCTTGACATATATACAATAGTCCTCTAGGTTTGGGGTTCTTACTCGGTTTTATACTCTTTGAACCAATCTAGGGCTTCAGAATTTTTATTTTTATTTTCTACTCTTGACAGATAGACGTGGCCTAGATGGAAGTGATCATCTTTTTAATGTGATAAAGTACCTCTTGCAGCCCTTAGCGGCCACATTCATAGGTCCATAAATATCACTATGAACAACCTCCATAAAAATGCCAGTAGTTCTTTGAGCTTTTCAGAAAGGATTTCTAAAACAACTCTTTCCTTGTGTAATAATCAGTTTGGTTACATCTTCATTTGGATTACTCAATACTCACTCTTCTTTAATCTCTCCATCATTTTAGGGCTTATGTGCCCTAGTCTCATGTGCCATATACATACAACATGGTTATCATTATAACTCGAGACTTGAGAAATGGAATTCTTTATTGCAACTGAAAAGAAACCTTCTACAAGATGACCATTCATGACTAATTCATCACCATAATTCACCTCCACCTTGTTACCAGTAAAAATGGTGGTGTAACCTGTCTTAGCCAATTTAGCGACCGAAACCAAACTCTTCCTCATCTCAGGAGTATAGAGAGTTTGCTTTAGGACCATGCTTTTGCCATTCTCAAGTTGAAGGATGAAATCTCCAATACCCAGAATTTTAGTCTTTTGATATCCACCTATATAGATATATTGATCCCCAGGGGAAACAGGCTGGAAATTTCTATATCCTTCCTTGGTGTTTGACACATGGGCAGTGGACCCTGAGTCAAAACACCATGACCCTACTTTAGGGTTAGCTAGCATAGTCTCTAGGACTACACAAGCATGCTCCCTATTGCCCTTGAGATTTGCATTCTTGGGTGCTTTGCAATACTTGGCAATGTGCCCGAATTTCTTGCAATTATAGCATTGGGTATTCTTAAAATCCTTCTTTTTCTATTAGGCCCACTATTCTCCTCTTATCCACATTCGTTTTGTTCTTTATTCTTTCCCATGCCTTTCTTCTTCTTGAATGAACCAGAGTTGGGCTTAAGGTTTACCACATTTATGGAGTCATTCAAGGCTGAAGAATCACTAGAAAATCTCCTTTCTTCTTCGGCTTTAAGTTTGGTGATGATCTCATCCAACTTCAAATATTACAGTTGAAAAGTTAGGGTTGATTTTCACCTTTGAAGAGGTCTTAGTTTTCCTCTTCTGTCTGAACTGGGCGCTTATTTAGGTCCATTGGGAGCCTTTCCATAGATTTGTGAAGATGTGGGGCTTGATCTCATGAATGCATCATGGAGCATCCTGGCATGGATGTGTGTGAATATTGGGAACAATTTTGACATCATTCACAATTAGCAAATGCTACTAAATATGCATCAAGCTGTGATGGGCCCTGAGCACATTTTATTGGCCTGCCTAGGTGGGTTTGCCTAATGCAACCGCCCAGGCAGTGCATAGGCTGCATTGGGGGGTTTATCTAATCCAATCGCCCTGGCATGTGACGGGAACCTATGCAGACACATCATGTCACCCTGCTACTTGTGGGTGGAAAAAGTAGCGTACGAATAGGGCTATTATGTCATGTCAGGCCATTAAGCTTCAACTGTTCCGAATGAAATTTTTTCTCGATTTAGATTTTGTGACCAAAGTCTGTAGGTTTCCTCTAGCAAGTTCTGTGTTGATTTTGTGTTCACTTTGGAAGGATGTCAGGCACACAATATCAACTATCAAGGCTTCAAAGGCAATTGAACCAATAACACTAAAAATTAATTTAGGCTTTGGTTGTACTCGCCGAGTGCTTAGTATTTGATTATACGCTGCATATTAGATTTTGTGCTTTTGTGATGGTGTATGAACTTTGATGAAGCATTTCATAGAGAATACTTAACATTTCCCAATTTATGTTATTAGTATCATATTATGCTTCCTTGCTTGTTTAGTTACTTGGTGTACATTTGTTTTTATTCAATCAAATGAATGGATTACGTCATGTTATCTTACATGCTAAGTAAAACAATGTGAAGTTGTATGCACTAAACAGTAAATGTTTCCGTTACTTGATCTGCGACTGAAATGATGCATGTACTAGAGACATCGTACTTGATGAAAATGCCTGCTATTAGACTAGTCTCATACTTGTGTTATTCTTCATGTGTGTGTGTGTGACTGAGCGGATGCATGTACTAGAGACATCGTACTTGATGGAAAATGCCTGCCATTAGGCTAGTCTCATACTTGTGTTATTCTTCATATGTGTACATAAATCTCATACTCGTGTTGTGTTATTCTTCATATATGTGTGGATATGTGTGGGCACGCGTGCGTGCCTACACATGCATATGAATGTATGTATGTTTATATATATGCATGTATCTATGCATCTATGTATTAATTTCTATGAAGTTTTCTAATTGCCTGGATAGGAATTGATGTGCCCAGCTTTTGGCCACATCGAGCCAAATAGCGTATAGAGCCCCCAACAGCATGGAGTCCACATAGGGCATATATGATACACATCATCTTGTAGTGTACGTCTTGTTAAGGAGTAATTTCTAGTTGGGAAGAGAACTTTTGTTCTATTGAAAGCACTGAAATCTAGTTTGTTGCTTCTTTTTCTTTGTTTCTACAAGTTTCAAATCTATTATGTTACTTGTTAAAATGTGAATATGTTTGTTATATATGAGCTCTAAGGATCAACATGAGAAACTTTCTCTAATTACATGTTAACATGTAGTATGTAGCTGTACCAAGTTCAAGCTGTTGTGATTGTCACTTGTTTTTTTAAGTAATTCTATGGCTTATGAGTTAGCTATGCATGTTTCATTTATGTCTGCACCAGATCCTTGCAAAGAATCCGGGGATGCCAAGTCCAATGGAGGTGGTTTTCATCTCTCCTTCCGGTTCTGAGATAAAAAATAAGCGTCAGTTGTTTGCCTACCTGAAATCTAATCCTGGTGGTGCTGCCGCAGCTGACTTTGATTGGAGCACAGGTGTTCTATCTTGTGACTGCTCTTTTAGAGTTTTTTTGTGGTATACTTTTCTACTGTTTGATAGGTGGAGGCCTTCCTATTTTTCAACCCTGTGAGACTCTCTATAATCTTTTGATTTTGCTATTGATCCTAAAGGTGGTACTCGGAGGAGGTCAGCCCGGTTGAGTGAGAAGCTCGTGCTAGAGACTCCTGAAAGTGAATCCAAGAATACGGCGAAGCGAGCAAGGAAATCACATGGTTCTTCTGCCAAGAGCAAGGAGAATGATGATAAGTCTTCCCAAGGGTCTGCTGAGAAGGAATTTCAAGAGGGATCTCTAGTACACAGCGGAGGTGAAGGGGAACATCCTGAACTAGATATCCCCTCACCAGCCAAGCCGGAAACAACCAAAATGCGAAAAGATAATGATGGGGTGGAACAGAAGAAAGAGGGAGAGAAGGAGAAGCAAGAGGTCGACCTCAACCAAGGTATGGAGCTTGAAGAGGACACTGAAAGTGTTACTTCTGCACAAGTTGATAAGAAACCTCTGGAAGAGGCTGCAACTGCAGATATAAAGGAGACACCGGAAGACGATAAGGTTGAGAGGAAATTTTTAGAGATCTGTGAGAAAGAAAAGGAGTGCAAAGGAGAGGAACCAAAGGCACAAGAAAAGACCTCTTTGTACCAGAACAGTGAGGCCCCAAAGCCTCCTGAGCTACTTGGTGTGAGCAGCTGAAGGGTGCTGCTCCCTTGGGATTGTAAGTAGGTGATAACCTTCTCTTGTAGAGAGAGAGAGAGTTGGTCTGTGAGTAGCATGACACCGTGGTCCCTTTACATTGCGTGGCACAGGGAATAGGCTCAAATAGATATGATGGTAGCAGTACATTTCTATGTGTTAGCACTTGTGGTATTGGTACTAGGAGGGAATACATGACAAATGCGGGACTTTCTTTTCTTTTTGCTTTATATGGCCGAATAATTTTGGATGGATCTATTGGGAAAGTAAAATGTTCTTGGTTCATGGATACTTCTCCATTAGTGCAGGCAGTGCTTTGCATCAGCAGGAATAGCCTGCGTATTTTTCTTTGGGGGGGTAAGTAGGTGGTAGAATATAACTTATAATGTAGAAATATTATTGTATGGGTAAGAGCTAATATAGAAATGGTATCGTATGATTATGTGCTTGTGGAAATGCTATAGCATGGGCTTGTGCTTTTTGGCAACAGCAAAAACCTCTCTCCTGCTTGGGCTTTGTTGTTGTGCTAATGGCTTAAATCACTGGGGTAAGGGAACTTCTTTATGCAACACAATTAAAAAGCAGTGCAGATTGAAGGCCCAAGTAATGTAGTTGTCAGTGTAAGTGCTAGGGAGATTAATGAACTTGAAGCATGTCAAACATGCGGCTCTGCCGAAGGTTAAGAACCGAATAGCACATCGCTATATTTGTTTTCTTTTTAAATTTTGGCTTGATATTAAGCAGGGCTTGAAATGTTTCCCTTCAGGGTCATATCGGCCTTAGGAATGGGCACAGCTGGTCAAGCTTAGGTGGTTATGGTGGTGGAGCCCTACATTGTGACGTTTTGAGTTCCATCTCTATTTTGGGTGGGGGATTTTTTACTCAGAACTGCCCAAAAAAAGAAAAAATATTTGCCTTGAGGTAGGTGTATTTGAAATTCATTGGCAGGTTTGGTAAGTTAGGACATGGTGGTGCTTCTATGCTTGCATGCACGTGCTTTTCACACATAGAAGATGCCTTTTTCATTTAGATTTAGTATTTGATTTTGATATGTGGCACTGTTGATCAGATCATGTATAGCTCTCTCTGTCTCTCTCTCTCTCCCTCGCATTTAATGGGTAGGTGGGTATTATTAGCTTTTAATCAGGTTGGTGCGTAATACTGACCTTACATTTTTGGGCTTATGAATTCAAGTGACCCTTTTAATTACTGAATTGAACTTTTGATATTCCTGGGTGAATGCAGGTCGTTAACGCTCTTTGCCATTTTGTGGCCAGTTAGGGCCTTAGAGGGAGCATCACCTTGAAGTGGTACTCTAATTTTAACGGTTTAATTGCTTTTTGTTTGTTGAGACATCAATATCTTGGCCTTTGGTTGTACCTAACCTGGCCCAGGGAATGCTGCTCGATATAGAAAATAGATGGGAGGCACCAAAACATTTGAAATGAATAAGGTAGTAAGTATGTGCCCATAAACCTGGATCAAGGTTGAAAGTATTATATGTACCACTCACAATTGCTATATATATATAGTAATGATCTTACGAGGCTCTCCCACACTTGTGTGTAGGATCTCAAAGGATCATTAAATTTTGAAATGAATAGGGTAGTAAGTATGTGCCCATAAACCTGGATCAAGGTTCAAAATATTATATGTACCATTCACAATTG